CCAGCCAAAAGCCACTGCTATGAGGATGACCGGAGTTTGCGTGATGGTTTTTGCTCCTTAAAGAGATGTGTAGTGACTTTTCCGATGGAATGTGGAGTTTCTGGAGGGATGACTGGAAAGCTACTTACCTGATGGGCAGTGAGTGTAGCTTGATTTCCTATTGTAACAGTCACTACTGGGCCACAATTTAAGTTTCTCTGGGAGTGTATTTGTTGAGGGGTTCATCCAACCCTCTTGAATTGTTTCGGTGTCTCAGGAAAGCATTAGGTGTACGTGTGTGAGGTTTTTTTTTTATTTTACGTGAGGTGCCACGGTGGCGAATGTTAATTTCCTCGCCTAGTATACATGAGGTGATCGGTTTCATTCCAACCAGGACGCCTGATGTATATTTGCAGTTTGCATGTCTCTCCCCGTGGTCGCGTGGATTTATTTCTGGGTCCTCCGGTTTTTTCCCACTACATTTAGAAAAGTGCGTTTAGAATCAGCTGCTATAAATTTCCACGTGATAAGCCACTTTGTTGAGCTATAATTTGTGGTAGCCAGGTTGCTCCTGAAAAAGAGCTAATATTACTCAGTGGGCCTTATGTGGTAAAAAAAAGTTTTTAAATTAAAATAAATAGTATATGTACACCTCCTCTGAAGGAGAAATTTGACTGGCAAATGCTCCTCTTCACTGGGCTGTTGATGTCGACTCTCATTGAAAGGCAAAGCTGGTATCCCTAACAGCCGGGTCTGAGTGGTCGAACGCGAGCTCACCCAAACACATGTAGTTGTGACAAAGGAGGCAAATACTTCTTTGTAGGCAACACTGTTTATTTACTCTAACGTCAGAGAATGTCCCTAACACAGAGAGGTAACGGCCTCTCCCACCCGATAGCCTAGAGGATACGTCCTCATACTTAGTGTGCCCTCACACTATACTCTGCTTAACGGGTACCACCACTGGGCCGTTCGGACTTGGCACTGACAAGGGCCGGACGTCAGAAGTCCCAGGGCACTATCTAGATGTCTGGAGTCTTGAGGTGAGTGCGGACTGACTCATGCTGGGAGAACTGCCCTTTATATCCTTCCTCTCCCAACCATCCTGTCTCGAGAGGGTCTGGGTCCAACCGTTGGCCCCCTCCCTCAGTGGGCTCTGGCCCCCTCACCCCTGGTCAACGGTTATTGTAGTCGTGACTCATACAATACTGCTATGCAGGTAAGTATACATGTTGCACGTAACAATGCCGCTACACACACGCCAACAATCAGCCACCCTAAAGGGCAGAGGTGGCCATGTTTTGTGGGCACTGTGACATTTTCTACAATCGATAACTTGTTCAACTCCAGATATATGGGGGTCATACTCCCCAGATAAGTGGTTTTAAGAAGTGGTCACACAGCAGCCCCGGGCACGTTGAGGCCACGTGAAGTGTCGAGGCTCGCTGGTGGCAGGTCATGGGACAGACCCAGCAGGTGTCATGGGTTGACTGACTGAGATGGCTGGCAGGTGCACCACCTGTGCCCCCTACGATGCCAACTCGCTTTGTTTTAGCCGTCCAGCACTCCACTCGTTGTTGTGAGTGTCGCTCCTCTGCTTTCCATTGATGCTGGAGGACGACTGCCTCTCAACTCCCTAGGAGTCATTCGCAAGCCTCCACCTCAACAGAGACACCGCTGGTTCAGGCAGTCCCCGCCATACAAACGTCTGACTTACGAACCTCCGCCCTCAACCCAACAACCTGGCATCACAAAACCCAACAACCAAGCAATACTCAACCCAACAACCTGGCAACACTCAACCCAACAACCTGGTATCAAAACCCAACAATCTGGCACCACACCCAACAACCTGGCATCAAAACCCCACAACCTGGCATCACACAACCCAATAACCTGGCAAAACTTAACCCAACAACCTACAACACTCAACCCAACAACCTGGCATCACACAACCCAACAACCTGGCAACACTCAACCCAACATTCTGGCATCCCTCAAACTAACAACCTGGCACCACACAACCCAACAAACTGGCATCACAAAACTCAACAACCTAGCAACACTCAAACCAACAAACTGGCAACACTCAACCTAACAACCTGGCACAACACAACCCAACAACCTGGCAACACTTAACCCAACAACCTAGCAACACTCAACCTAACAACCTGGCAAAACTTAACCCAACAACCTAGCAACACTCAACCCAACAACCTGGCATCACACAACCCAACAACCTAGCAACACTCAACTCAACAACCTGGCAACACTCAACACAACCTGACATCAAAACCCAACAACATGGCAACACTCAACCCAACAACCTGGTATCAAAACCCAACAATCTGGCACCACACAACCCAACAAACTGGCATCAAAACCTAACAACTTGGCATCAAAACCCAACATCCTGGCATCCCTCAACCTAACAACCTGGCACCACACAACCCAACAAACTGGCATCACAAAACTCAACAACCTGGCATCACACAACCCAACAACCTGGCATCACACAACCCAACAACCTGGCATCACACAACCCAACAACCTGGCATCACTCAACATAATTACTCGCCAGGAGCATAGCTAAATATGCACATTTACGAACATTCTCTAGCCTGGCTAACTTATTCAGCTGTCAACACGACGTGCATACAATATCTTCCATACTCACCACGAGATCAGACCCCCCCCCCCACCGTCACTGCACACCAATACTGTGTTGTGGCAATGTTGAGCTTATTTAACCTTAGCCAGAGACGCTCTATGTCAAAGAAGGAATGCTGTTTGTTGAGTTGACATCCAACCCCCACCCACCACCACTCAACGTGGTCGAACGAATGTTTTGTCTGTGTTTGCTTATCGTGCCCGCATACTTGGAATCGCTGCTCTCGGTGGATGTGCGTGGCGGTGTGTATGAGAGCGTGTCTTTGAGTGGGGAGCGGTGGCGCTTCCCGATCACGGCCAACACCAGTGACGATTATTTTAACCGGTCCTGGGCCTTTTCTAGGTCGACTCAGCCTCAAATTAGTACCTGCTGCGGTGTGTAAACATTTCCAATAGGGAGACAAAGGCGGTTGGGCGTGGTGCTGCCCACCCACCCCCTCGTATACCATGCCAGCCTTCATGGGTGCTTGCTTTTTTTTTCAGTTTCAGTTTATTTATTTTGGTATAGCCCTGTGAGCCATTCGGCTTTTGAATCGGGTGCAACCACAACAAACAAAAAAACAAAAAACACGAACAAGAAAACATCTTAAGGTGACTATGTGACTGTGCAAACAGAAAATCCATGAAAAAAACACAGCAAAATATTCCTGAAAAAAGCACCGTACACCAACGCTGTGTGCAAAAATCCCAGTGGGATGCAAGTAAAACAACAAGAACCACAAGAAAACTTAGATTAAGGCCATCAGTCTAACTCCGTACTACAACAAAACTAACATGTCCAAACCAAAAAACTTTTCGAAAATCACCAAAAAATAAAGCCATAATTGCAACGTAACAGTGATCATAGGGACTGTGACCGAATTTTTACAAACAGGTCCTTGCAGGGTGGGCTGGTAGGAACATTGGAATTTTTTTACACCCAACAGCACGAGATTTCACTTCTAAAGTATTGAAAGGGACGGACGGACACATAAAGTATTGAAAGGGACGGACGGACACATTAATCTATTGCAGGCTGGTACACTCAGTTTACAACTTCGTTCCTACCAGTATAACGTAATAATCAACCTGACCTTGCGTTAATTGTGTTTTGACCGTCTGTGTTGCGTTATATGGTTTCCAAATCTTGCTAAAACCTGTTTGATTTAGTGTGCTCCCACGTGTCTCTCTCTCTGTATCCCCTGTTGTATCTGTGTGTGTATATATATCTGCGGTTATGCGTCTCCTCTCATATCTTCTGTACCTGATGCCGATTGCTTGTGTTGCAATCGAAACGACGTACACTATTATGTTATTTTATTATTTTTACGTGACTTTACCGAAAAAACCAAAGAATAAAAGATTCCCCCTCTTTTTACAAGCTTTTATTTAGCTCACTGTCTGTTGTCGTTATCGTATCCTCAAATCTTGTAACTCAATTTTAACCCACTTCCCAATATGGTATCGACTGCAAACTTGCTATACTTATGGCATACTGATGACAATTACTATATTCTATCATAAAAAAGAAATATATATTTTTAAACATTCTTTTTTATATATGTTATGTTTCGGCTTGGGTCTAATTGTCCACGCTCAACTGACTTTGGCTGTAATGGACCACGGTCCCTTGCGTCGTGGCCAAGCTTCGGGCCACTTCCTGGAGTCGTGGAGTTCTTTCATTACTTGTACGTTTCTTAAAAGCGTGTAAAATTTTTTTTAATATTACTTAATCACCTGAAGACGGTTACTTGTGTTGCGATCGAAACGTCGTGATGTATTTTTTTCTACCTACGTGACTTTACCGAAATAACCAAGAATATGAATCCCTGCAGTGACGAAAGCTTTAAATCTAAAGTTTTTACAGTAGTTTTATAGTTATAACTCGACCATGCCCGGTCAAGTTAATATTGTTATGATCACGGTATGCAATAATTGTGCATTCCACCAGTCCCTGCTATAGAGTATTTGACTGCTGCTATAAATTTCCACGCGATGATGATGATACTCTTTGGTCGAGCTATCATGTGATGATCAGGTCGCCTTCTCAAAAAAAGCTACAAAGCAGCTCAGTTGGGGAGGGCCTTACACCTGGTAAACTTAACATAGTTAAAAAATAGTAATACCGTAGCAAGAACATGTATTGTGTCCACGCTACGTATTGTAATATTAATGTAAAATAATAATACAGTACACGGCAGTGTCATACGTTCGAGAAGCGTCAACCTTAACAATTTAAATCAACACGCGCGCTTACGATTGCATTGAGAGACGGGGTACAATTAAAACTTAAGTGGCAGAATGACGAAGACGCGTGGATTTAATTAGCTCACAAACAAATCACATCGGCCACGTAACCGTATTGGACCTACCACGGTCTCACCCGGACTCCGTCGCGCGGCAAGGCGCGCGAGTTCTCCGGCAGCGAAATCAGGCAAGGCAGGCCCTGGCGCGGGCCCGGGGAGCGCCGGGACGACGAGGGCTTTTGTCCGGCAGCGAAATCAGGCAAGGCAGGCCCTGCGCTTGCGCTTGGGCCCGGGGCCCGCCAGGACACGAGGGATGTGTGCCTGCATGTTTTATTTTGCACTTTTATAAAAATATATATCACGTAATAAATGAACGGTTAAATTATGAAAAAAATATATATCACGTAAATAAATAAACGGTTAAATTATGAAGAGGATTAACATCACACGCAATGCAGCGAGCACATTCAAACGCCACACACACAGAGAGATTATTGCTGATTTTACACCCAACAGCACGAGATTTCACTTCGTTAAAGTATTGAAAGGGGACGGACGGACACATTAATCTATTGCAGGCTGGTACACTCAGTTTACAACTTAGTTCCTACCAGTATAAACTACATAAATAACATGTAACACCAAATCCTAGAGCCATAGCTGGCTGCATGAGTTTCTCCACAACAACAAAAGCATCAGTCGGAGTATCAAATTTTTCAATGCACCTTTAAGATCAGCACGCTAAATCAAAATACAGATAATACTTTGCAGCGTCATCCGGAGCAAAACATTTTATTTTACGCCAGTGGCAGCTAGGGGTGTACAACTCCTCTAGAGCAGTTTTGAGAGAAGATCTCATTGGTAGCGATTCAAGTTGCAGTTTATTGGCAATAGCATTCCAGACCCTGGGGGCATCAATAGCAAAGGCCCTTCCTCCAGTTTTTGTACGGCAATAGGGAATGTGAAGCTGGTAAATGAGCAAAGACCTGAGGTCAAATTTGTTCTTTGAAACAGAGAGGAGATCCAGCAGGTAGTCTGCGGATTCTTTTGTAAGTACATCGTGAATAAATAAGATCTGGTGCACAAGCCGTCGAACATTAAGAAATGTTAAGTTTGACCCAATGTAGAGATCACAGTGGTGAGTCCTATATGGGCAGTTCAATGTAAATCTTAAGGCCAAGTGATAGATGGAAACAAGCTTCTTCATTACAGTACTTGGGGCTGATTTATACACGATGTCACAGTAGTCAAGTAGAGGCAGTATGGTAGCTTTTAGCAATTCCAAACGGAACATTGGGGGGAAGCAGTGCTTGTGTCGATACAGAAAACCAATTATTATTTTTGTCTTTTTACCAATATAATCAATGTGATCTTCAAAATTAAGTTTTGAATCCAGGATGACCCCAAGATACTTATAGATCTTGACTTGCTCTATTTGATAATTATTTAAGGAATGTAATTGGGGAAAAATAACTTCCTGCTTTAGTCCTGGTGAGAAGCATAGCACCTTGGTTTTGGAGGTATTCAGGACTAGTTTAAGAGCAACTAGCTGATGTTGTAGTTTGTTGAAATCACCCTGTAGCTTAGCAATCACGTCATCCGGAGAGCGGCCAGCAGTAATCAGTATCGTGTCATCTGCAAAAAGATTTACCCTGGAATGATCCAGGTCAGTGCCCAAGTAATTGACATAAAGAAAGAACAAAAGGGGGCCGAGGATTGAACCCTGTGGAACCCCTTTTGTTATCTTAACACTGTTTGACCTCCAACCATCTGTGAATACAGTTTGGGTGCGAGAAAAGAGGTATTTTTTTAACCATTTTACTGCGTTTTCGGAAAAACCGAGGCAACTTAGTTTACTAAGCAGGGTGTTGTGGTCTACTGTATCAAAAGCTTTGGACAGGTCTAGAAAAAACAGGCACAGTACTGCTTATTATCAAGCCTACTGTAAATGTGATTCAGAGAGTTTAATGTAGCAGATGTGGTGCTGTATTTTTTTCGGAACCCAGATTGTTTTAGATGTAGTAGATTGTTGGTGGACAGGAAACTGCTAATTTTGGTAGGTCAATAATTTTTCAAAAATTTTCATTAACGGGGACAAAATTGATAGGTCGGTAGTTATTTGGATCATCTTTAGGGCCTCCTTTGTGAAGTGGACTGACATAGGAATGTTTACATTCTAGAGGAACTATGCTTCTTTGATGGACAGGTTGAAAATATGGGCTATAGGTTTGTATATTAGGTGACCAACGGTTAGTAGAGCAAAGACGGGAATACTATCTGCTCCGGTAGAGGAGGACCCTTTGAGGTAGGACAGTTGTTTCAGAACATTACTTTCGTGGATTGGCTGGAAACTAAATTCGTTTAATATTTGGACAGGGGTGTAGGAATTTGCATGAGCAGGGGTGACTCCCAATACATTATCAAAAAGATTACCAGCTTCAGAAAAATTAAGTTTAAAATTGTCAACTATTTTTGTGGGATCTGAAAAATATTCTCCATTTCGGTTAAGCTCAACGGGCAGATTGTCTGTTTTGGATGCCTTTTCGTTACATTTGATTGTTTTCCAGAAAATCTGGCACTTGTCCCTACAGTCAGTCGAAGGCTATACGGGGGATCGTTGTCTTTGATGTTGAAAATATGGGCTATGGGCTAAGCAAGCGGATCAATTTTAAACTGTATGAAGAATATGGAGCAAGTTGATAAAATATTATGATCGTTCCTCTTTCCCTCCCCAACAGGGCCCACTTTTTAAAGATGAATACCTTCTTGATGACACTTCACTCCCGCATTTCCTCATTTATACGGAACCACAAATTACCACAAGTAGATTATCACTCCATTACCCTGCCTTGCCCTCACAGACTTCCTGAAGCACAGCAATCGCTCGCCAACCACGGGTTTTCCAATCACGGTTTTGAGTACACACACAGAATATTACGTATACCGTTTTGTCAACCATGGTATGCAGTTTCACGTAACCACTACAAATCTCCAACTGTGTTCAAGCATCCACCACTCGTGGCACATCAAGCGCGTATACCCACGCGTGCCCGCTACAGTGCTTGTCTGTGGCGTTCAATGCTGTGCAGCAGTCGTCAAAGCATAACGCTGTAATAGCTACTTTCAAGAGCTATTACATGTGGCGCACTTTTGAAGGCATCCTGGATAACATGGAAAGCAATTCAACACTGGCGGTGATGCAATGTTGGAAGAATTATAATATTGCAAACTGGATCAAAAACATTAAGGAGTATGTTGATGAGGTGAAGCAGTCAACTCTTAATGCCTGCTGGGGGGAAAATTTGAAAGGAGGGAGTCATCGACTTCCAATGATTCCCCAGATTCGATACTATCTTCATTCCCATCTCTTTTGCCAGTTCTGAGGGGGACAGCCCCTCACTCCGAAAACCAAACATCGCCATCATCGTCACTGTCATTGTTATCTGGACTTTAAGATCAATATTAAAGATAAATTTCAATATTTTTGTTGACTTTTATTAGTTTAGATATTGTATGTTATACTGTACTGTACATATTTATCACGTACTGAATGCATAAGATGCATAGTTAGGCTTCGATTAGTGTTAACCACGGCCGCGGAACATAACCCCCTATTTGCCAACCACGGTTTTGCCAAACATGAGGGTTTTCAGGAACCTAATCCCTGCGTTTGGCGAGGCATTCGTCTATCACAAAGCAATTGTTATTCAAAACATCAAACAACCAGATCAATCCGTTGTAGCAAAATCATGGGAGGAAGGTTCCGTGAGCCTGTGGTCACTGGCTGGGATCACCTCTCCCAATAAAGACAGGCTGTGGGACATTCAACCTTCATGGACGGTCACCAGCAGGGTTTAATTGTTCTTGTTGTTTGTGAGGCACACTCACAATTCTTCTACCATTGGTAATTTCGGAGTTTCCCATTGTTGCAGCCGGGACGGCTGGAGCTTCCGAAGGAGGGGGTGATGTAGAGGTGTTAACTACGCGCTGTTGCGTAACCTGCGTTGCCACCAGGGCGGTGCAGCATTACCCCTGGGTACAACGGTTGGGGTCAGTCGAGGTGAAACGGATCGTGGCCAGGGTTTGGTGCGAACCAATCAGACAGTTCCACGTGGGAATGTGTGATTGGTTCTGCCTGGCCACGAAGGGGTATAAGACGGGTGACCCAACGGACCTCGTGGAGTTCGCTCCCTGCACGAAGACAGAAGACTGGGCTGAAGCCTAGCTAGGACCCTGGACCAGCCTTTCAGCCCTTCTAAGGGCTAAGGCTCGGCATACCCAGTGGTCAGGACCCACCGGGCCAGCGGTGGGTCAGATAGCCTCCCTTAGGTCCTAGCCGGAGGACTAGGATAGCGGTAGACGTGTGAGTCCCGCCAAGTCCGGAGGTTGTACCTCCTTAGTTATCAAGGAGGTTAGCGGTAGACGTGTGAATCCCGCCACGTCTGGAGGCTGTACCTCCCTAGGGTATCGGGTGGACCTTCTGTCGGGGTTTTTGGCAACTCCCCCTCGACGAATCGTCAAAACCTAAGACTGCTTTTCGGACACCACAGGGCCTTTTAGAGTTTAATAGATTGCCCATGGGTCTCCACTCGGCCCCAGCGACGTTCCAGAGGCTCATGGAGCTGGTCCTCGCTGGGCTCCAGTGGGACTCATGTCTCATTTATCTTGACGACGTCATCGTCTTTAGCCGCACGTTCGGCGAACACATCGAACGGTTGCGTGCTGTCTTCTTGAAAATGCGGGCCGCTAACTTGAAATTCAAGCCGCAGAAGTGTCACCTTCTGCGTGAGTCTGTGCGCTATCTGGGCCACATAGTTAGCCGCTCGGGCATCTCTACCGACCCTGAAAAAACCAAATGTGTTCAACATTGGCCGACCCCTACATCTGCGGGCGATGTTCGTAGTTTTATTGGTTTTGCGTCGTACTACCGCCGGTTTGTTGCTGGCTTCGCGACGATTGCCAAGCCGCTCCACGCCCTTACGTCAAAAGGGGTGGCGTTTCATTGGGGGGACGCAGAACAGGCTGCGTTCGACTCCTTGCGGAACGCGCTCGTGACGGCACCGTCCCTTGCGTACCCCGATTTTTCCGTGCCATTCGTGTTGGACACCGACGCTAGCAATACGGGGATTGGGGGTGTTCTGTCCCAAAAAGTTGACGGCATTGAAAGGGTTGTTGCCTATGGTAGCAGAGTCTTGTCTCTTGCTGAACAAAGATACTGTGTGACCAGACGTGAGCTGCTGGCCATTGTTTTTTTTATTCAGCAATACAGGCCGTACCTGTATGGTCAGCATTTTACCGTACGATCTGATCATTCGGCTTTACAGTACGCTCTGCGGGTTGACCAACCGTCCGGGCAGCTTTTTCGGTGGCTCGAAGTCCTTCAGGACTACGATTTCAATGTCACTTACCGTAGGGGTGCACAACACACGAATGCCGATGCGTTGTCTCGCCTTCCGCCGGCTCAAAAATGTGCGTGTTTTTTGGGCTCGGGCCGTTGTAAGCCGCCACTGCCTGCGCTGGTCGCGCTTCTCACAACGGTGTCAGCCGCACTTCCCGCCGCCTCAG